GGTTCTAAATCAGCACACCAAAAGGGAAGAAGGATGGAAAGGATGAAAGGAGGAGAAAAAATATGATAGAAGTAACAAAAAAGCTGATCATTCTTTCATAAGTTAGAAGGGAGGGAGGTGGTGAAAGAAGAAAAGAGAAATAAATGATGGTACTCAGTGAACAACAGAAATATCTGATTTAAAAATAAGTCCAAATACTGAGGCGATATAGATAAGTGCCCCTAAAAATGACTTAAGTAGAGTGTAGTTTTTTAAAGCAAGCTATATACTGCTATAACAAAACACTTCTGTAACAGAACTATATATTGACATTCAAAATAAAGTAGTACAAACAGTATACAATGACCAAAGGCATGACATTATCAACCAAAATATAATTAAGGGAAGAAAGCCATGAAGACAAAGATATACATAATGTGACAGCAATATTAAAATGATAAAAACAAGCACTTATAATACAAATATTTATAACAAAAATACCTAATTTATACAATGTTTCAAAAGTTGATGAAAAATAATGTAGTCTACCAAGAACACACAAAAATGATATAAAATATGTAACTAATGAGCTTGTAGAGCTAAAATAACAACATAAATAACTGAAGAAAATTACAGAAAGAAATGAGCAAGTCCTGAACCTAAAGATTTTAATATGCATGCTTTATATCATCCGAGTATAAAACAAGCAGGCTAAGAATTTAGTAATAACTATTACATTTAGAGTGTCTCTGAAGAAAATCTAAAAGATGACACAAATGTATAGAGACATTAGAGATTTAAGCAAAAATTGTGGTTAGAAGATGGAACATCTAAAACAATATAATTTCTACATATGCATAATAATTAAAGAGAAATTATTACAAATTCAGAGAAACAAAATAGAACAACGTATCAATTCTCTGAGGGTACACAATAATATTCACTGGAGTTTTTAAAAGAAATTTATTATATCACTGAGGAACAAAAATAAGATGTGAAAAGATGAAGAGAGATAATATTCATGAATTGGAAAACCAAAGTTTGGTTTAAAGGTCATTTTGCCTGAAATTATATAAATTAAAGGCATTTCATCAATTTCAAATGGCTCATTAATGGGAATTGTCAGGCTGGCTTTATAATTCACAAAAAAGGAAAAAAGGACAAGAATGGTTAAAATAACTTGAAGGATAGCATATAGAATTGTCCTATCAGATATTTAAATTTGAGAAGTAAACATTTTTTAGGTCAGCAAAAGATTTCTTAAATATGATAACATATATTCCATAAGTGATAAACTTCAGATCATGAAATGTTACTAAAACAAAGGAGAATGGCAAACCACTGACAGAAAAAAATATTTTCAAATCACATAACTGGTAAAGTATTAGTATGTATAATTTTTTAAGAACTGCAACATTAAGAAAAAGTCAAACAACCCATTCAAAAATGGGCAAGTATATAAACTGACAACTAATAAAAACAGAAACCCAAGTGACCAAAAAACATGAATAGATACCCAATCTCAATAGTAACCAGGGAAAGGGGAAAAAGCAATAAAATAATCCATGAGATACATTTTCATGTTCATCAGTTTAGAAATAATTAAAAATCTGACCATCTCAATTACTGGTAAGGAAAATAAATGGAAAATCGCATACGTGGATAGTGAAAGGCAATGAATATAATATTCTAGCAGACAATTTGAGGTACATGGTAAAGTTAAAGATCTGCATTCCTTATGACCCCGTAATCCCAATACTTGAAAAAAAAACTTACTCAAAAGGTAACCTCTACAATAATGGTCACTGAGGCATGATTTGTAACAGTGAGAACTGGAAACTAAATGTTCTCTAATAAAAATAAATGATTTCTGATTAATATGTAATGAAATACAGAATGGCCATTAAAGTATACACACTGTGTGTATGTATATATGTATACACAATTATATAATGTATATAAATTTTATATAATATGAGCAAAATAAGATGCAGAATGATACATATATTGATATGTTAAATATACGCAAAATGTTGCCTATTGTTTATAAATACTGTAAGGCTGGAGGCACCAGAGGGAGGAGTGAGCACGTCAGACACCGGCCTGATGATATGCCAAAATCCCCAGCTACTGCCCCCTCCCAACCTGGAAAAGGTGCCTTAGGCTAGCCAATCCTCGCACCGCTGTAAATCTATGCTCTGCCTTCCCCTACCTTCTTTAAAAACTTGCTGCCTGCCCTGCTGGGCGTGACTTCTCTGGCCTGTGACTAACCAGACTGGCGAACATCACCCAGGATTGCGCCCTATTAAACTTTTGGCTCCTATGTAGCCTCCTCGCCTAGTTATTTTGGCTCGATTTTACCTTACAAATACTATAGTATTTCTATTATTACTCTACACTATATTATATACTATAATACTGCAAATATTTACACAGAAATAATAATCACATAATTTGTTTCACCAAGGAAAGAAAATGTAAGATGGAATTTGAGAAGTGTACACAGGAGTTTCAACTATAGTATCTATATTGCATAACTTATTTTCAAAATCTGACAAGAATATGCCAAATGGTAAGATTTGATAAGGCTGAATAATGTGAATTTTGTTATATTATTCCCTATATGCTATTTTATATTTGAAATCACACTGTAGTACCTAAAAGATCAGTCGCTTCAACACAATGAAAATAATGCCTTACCATTATCAGAGTTGAAGAGGCCTAATGAAATTGGACAGCTGGCACAATTCCAGGAACTGTAGATAAAGGATTTTTCACTGAAAAGCACTATTTTATCTACTGTGCTATGTGTACAGGTTAAACTGCATATTATTTAAGAGTTGTTTTCAGATTATGTAATATTCCTGTTTAATAGTTGTGTATAATGTTTGTCCAAATCTTTAGAGCCCATTATTTAATTTTTCATAGAACCAGAACTTTCACTGATAAAACATATATTGCTTTACTTAAGTTCTTTAGATTCCTTCCTTCCCACTAGATGGTTAGTTCCAAAAATGAAGAGATGACATTTGTGCTTTCACTGTGCTGAATTCAGAGCCTATTAGAGTTCCTAGAACATAGCAGGGGTGATTTGAAAAATAAGTAAGAAAAAATAAGGAAGGAAGGGAAGAAAGGAGGGATGAAAGGAAGGAAGGACAAGTGTAAGCAAGTTTATAATAGAGCAGTGAGAACAGTGTTATCCTGATTTTGTACATGTAAATACAACTACAGACATGAAGCCCAGGGTTTTAACTTGGATTCAGTAACTCATGCAGAGTGTTCATTCTACTGCAACTTATCAAAGAGGCAAAAATCTGTATTATCTTGGAGGAAATATAACATCTCTCATAAATTTATTTATCCAGAAGATTTAGAATATCTTATCTGTTTTTGTACTTGAACTCTCATATTAAAATTTGTTTTTTATGTTGTTAATTTTGTGAAGTGACTGCTAATCAAGGAGTTAATTACAATACTGGATTGCTCTAGAGGTGGAAAGAACTTGTTGAATCATTGCAAATTATATGCAGTATTCTAACTACTTTTGCACTATGTAGAATAAAAATGTTATTCTTCAATAAATCATCAGTTTAAACCAGTTAGTATATACTCTGTATTGTAACTGAATTGTCTCATTTAATATTCAAAACCTAGAGGAAAGGGCTACTGTTTTGTCATTTTATAAACAAATAAATTGAAATGAAAACTGCCAAATAATTTGTCTAGGGCGGAGAAAACACATTAACACCCAGATTATCTGGGGCCCACATTCCTCAAGATATGTACTATTTCAATAGAAAAGTTTAAAAGTAAAAAAGCAAAATCAAAACTTCCACAGAATGACTCATTCTTAACTTATCATTCACCTTTTTATCACATTAAAATTATAATTTTCACTACTTCTCATAGTCTTTCTTCCTTTCTTGCTTTCTTCCTTACTTCCTTTCTTTCCTCTTTCCTTTCTTTCCTTTCTTCTTTCTTTTCTTTCATTCACCCATGTGTTTAAAACATCCCTGCTATATTCCAGGAATGATGACAGGCACTGACAAACCAACCATGAAAAGACAAAGTGGTTGGCACTTTCGTTGTGCCAACCAACACAATGAAAGATAAACATTAAAAAATAGTTAAAATAATGTTTACCCACAAGAAACAAAATGATTAGTAACTTAGTTTTAAAATGTGTTCTTTTCTTAACTTAAATATACATTGGAAATATAGTTAGTTATCAGCAAAAGTTTTCTTCTCTATTTTAATACTCTTGGTATCACAAATTCCTTAATTCAAAAAAGATTTATTGCTCACTCCTCAAGATGATAGACTGGGACCTGAAGTTACAGCCATCAGTAAGTTGATACATCCCTAAGTCCTCTTACAAATTTCCATTCTCATTATCTTATTCTTTTATTAACCCATGAATTTATGAAATATTTGTTGAATAGCTATTGAATGAAGACTGGGAAACACTGGGTGCAGGTTTATTACTCTTGCCTTCAGGAAGCTTACATTCTGGTAAAAGTGATCAGGAATGTATGTCATTCACTCTCCACACATGGTAATTTGTTTTAAATGATATAAGATCATTTTGCAGTGGCATGAGTTATCAGAAAGAGAATTTTTGACTAGGGTGATCTTCCAAAGTTATAGAATTGTAATTGGAATGCCTTGATTATCAAGTTTACTTAAGGGATGAATGTAAACTGGCAGAACTGTGGGATTCACATATAAACCAAGTATAAAAATCAAATGAATAATCATATCTGACTTGATTGTTTATAGTTCATGATGCGTGATCAAAACCGAAACAGTTCCTTGCATTGTTCACCATGTAAGAACTTGTTTGTTGTGCTTCAGAAGATTTTAGACTGTTGAGAGTTAGGCTTGGGTTGATTAATGATTGGGTATTGAGTCCCCTATACAGAATTTTATTGTTAACAACCATTTGATCAATAAATATGAGAGGTGTACTCAGCACCACTCTTGCGCAGTTACGCCTTGAGTCCCCTGACTGGTCCTTTCAGATCTTCGATATCTCATCGCGTCTCATCCCTTATCTGCGGGTCAGAGGCAGGGAGCACCTGACAAGTGGCGCCCGAACAGGAACCCTGAAACTCAGAATGGGGGACAGTTGAAACTCAGAGCGGGGAAACTGAAGATCTTTGATCTGGTAAGACTCCCAGGAAAGTGCGCATAGGGACAGGGTCGAGATGTCAGGGACACTAAAATTGGGCCAAAATGAAACTAAAGCAGCTAAACTGGAGGATTACTTAAAATTACTCCGTGCTCTCCTAAAAACATCAGGAGTGAAAGCTTCCAAAAAGGACTTTGCTCAACTTCACAAACATATTAGAAAATATTGTTGCTGGTTGCCACCACAGGGAACCCTTAAACAAGCTGATTGGGATAATGTATTAAGAGACTTTTAAAAGGCTCACAGACAGGGAAATGCATCCCTGTGCCTGTTTGATCTTTATGTAATTTGATCACTTTTGCCTTGCAGCCTTTGCAAACTCCCCCACTGTCTGAAACCAGATCAGACACATACAAGCGTGAGAGAGAACTCTTAGATGATGTGGTGAAATCAAGTAAGTGATCTTCATCCCCACATCTGTTTGACTCCTCTTTGTCCTCCTCTTCCTCTTCCGAGACTGACGAATAGAGTTCTATTCGTTCCTCTCATCATAAAAAACCCTCGGCTCCTGTTCCTGCTGCGTCTGCCTTCATGGCATAAAGCCCAGAGGGAGGGTGATATATATATAGATGCTTATCTGACACCCTTAGTAGCACCAGTTAATTTAACTCCTTGTGGGCCAAATGAGGATCCCAATTTCCACAAGGAGGGGGTCAAAGCACTTTATATGCCTATTCCTTACAAGACCTTAAAACACTTTAAACAGGTTATTTCCTCTTATGGTTCTAATTCTCCATATGTTGTGGGTCTCTTGAGGGGGTTGGCAGAACAGGAAAGGATGATCCTTCATGACTGGGATTTATTGGCTCATAGTTTAGACTCTTCTGAGTTTTTACAATTTAAGATGTGGTGGTATGAGGAAGCAAAAGCACAAGCTTTGAGAAATCAGCACGCCAATCCTCCAATTCTTGTAACTGCTGAACAACTAGCAGGACAAGGAGACTGGCTGCAGTTAGAAAGACATACTGGGTATGATGACACATAGTAGGTGGACACTAAAAGGATTAATAGTAAGACCCGGGGTTATTGATCAGGATTATATGGGTGAGAATGAAATAATGGTATCATCTGAAAAAGAATTATATATACCTCAAGGAGAAAGAATTGCTCAATTACTTTTACTTTCCTATCTCCCACCTACAACAACACCTTATGAAAGGGGACAAGGTGGATTTGGAAGTACAAATAAACAAATATGGCTTAATACAAAAATCACATCTGACAGACCTCAATGCAAAATCAGTATTCAGGGCAAGTCTTTCATAGGATTATTAGACATAGGGGCTGATGTGTCTGTAATTGCTCTTAAACATTGGCCAAAAAATTGGCCCAAACAAGAAGAGCATATTCAATTTTCAGGTATTGTACAGCCTCTCAAGTATGGCAAAGTTCAGCTACCTTACATTGTCTAGGCCCTGAAAAACAATTAGCTTTGTTGAAACCTTTAATTGTTGATGTAGCAATTAATCTCTGGGGATGAGACTTGATGCAACATGGCATACTACACTGTCTTTTGATGAGCCTTCATCAATTCAGTCTTTTTCTTAGGGGTCATTGATACACAGCTGCCAGCTCCTATACCATTACAGTGGGCCACTCAGACGCCTGTTTGGGTGGATCAGTGGCTCCTCAATAAAGAAAAACTGGCAGCCTTACACACATTATTTCAAGAACAACTTCAGCTAGGTACATTAGAATTTTCCACAAGCCCATGGAATTCCCCTGTATTTGTTATAAAAAAGAAGTCAGAAAATTGGAGACTCTTATATGACTTAAGACAAATTAATGCAGTCCTTAAACCTATGGGACCTTTACAACAAGGCCTCCCTTCTCCAGCTGTGGTTCCAAAAGACTGGAACATGACTATCATTGATCTTAAAGATTGTTTTTTACAATTCCCTTAGCCGTAATAGGGAAAAGTTTGCTTTTACTGTCCCTTCCTTAAACTTGCAGTCCCCTTCAGAAAGATTACAGTGGAAAGTACTTCCTCAAGGAATGTTAAAACAGCCCTACAATTTATCAGAATTATGTGCATAGGGCTCTTCAGCCTATACGTGAAAAATGGCCCTAAGCTTTTATCATTCATTATATGGATGATATTGTCATAGCCCTACCTAAACATCTCTCTCTCAACACTATTCTCAATGAGACTGAAACTGAATTAAAACAATGGGGCTTTAAAAAGCCCCTGATAAAATACAAATACAATACCCAATGAATTATTTGGGGAATAAAATTCAATAATCCCTCAGAAAATTCAAATAAGGAGAGGAGGTCATCTTACAACTTTAAATGACTTTCAAAAGCTCTTAGAAGATATCAATTGGATCTGACCGTTATTAGGAATTCCTATTTATAAACTACAACATCTTTTCAATACCTTGAAAAGACCCCAGATCTTAATAGGCCTAAAGACAACCTCAAAGGCTGAAGAAGAAGTCAAGTGGATAGAACAACACATTTCAAAGGCTCAGTTATCAAAAATTGACTTACACAAACCCTTACTTTTATTAATTTACTTTACTCCCCATCCTCCAACAGGGATTGCTCTGTTGATGTGACGGTTGGTTAGAATGGATATTTTTGCAATATCAAACTAAACCCTCGTTACAACCTTACATTGACAAAGTAGCCTCCATTATTCTTAAAGAATGACAGAGACTAAGACAGATGATTGGTCAAGAAGACCCTTACTCCATTATTCTTCCATTATCTAAACAAAATATTATGCAAGTATTTCAAGAAAATACTCTTTGGCAAATTGCACTTTATGATATTTTAGGAAATATTGACTGTCATTACCCTAAGAATAAATTAGTTTCCTTTTTTTCAGTGCCATCAATGGATCCTTCCTCAAAAAACTTCTCTTAATCTATTATTAAATATACTGTTATCTGTTTTACAGATGGTACAAAATCTTTTAAAGCAGCCTATACGACTTGTTCTGGTTTGTCAAAAACTTTTCAAACGTCTTTTACTTCTACACAACAAAATGAGTTATATGCTGTATTGCAAGCTCTGCAAGATTTCCCAGATCCTCTTAATATTGTTACTGACTCTGCTTACGCTGCCTTTTCCGTTCCTCTATTAGAAACTGCGACATTGGGCACCGTACAATCTCCTGTTAACACTTTATTTTCTCAGTTACAGGTGTGTATCCATTAACATCTGCATCCCTCCTTCTTCACTCATATACGATCACATTCTAATTTACCAGGTCCTTTATCATACTGTAATGATAAAGTAGACAAGCTTGTTTCTTTAGTTAATTACTCACAAGCTCAGTGCTATCATGACCTGAGTCATGCTCCCTCCTTCACCTTACAAAATGTTTCTCTCTGCCTCTGAAGCTCAAAATATCTTGAATTCTTGTCCAACCTGTTCTCAAATCAATTCTCATTTACAAGCAGGAACCGTCCGCAGGGGAACACATCCTAACACCCTATGGCAAATGGATGTTACTATTTTTCCTGAATTTGGAACTCTCAAACATGTTTATGTTTCCATTGATGCTTATTCTTCCACTTGGTGGACCACAGCTTAACAGGAAAACGATCTCATCATGTTATTACTCATCTTTTACAAGGATTTGCAGTATTTGGTGTTCCTGCTACCATAAAAACTGACAGTGCTTCAGTTTACCTCTCCTCTATGCTAAAAAAAATTTTTCAGCTATATAATATCACTCATAAAACAGGCATTCCTTACAATTCTACAGTTCAAGCTCTAATTGAAGGTCATCATCTTACTCTTAAGCATTATTTATTAAAACAAAGAGCGGGATTACTTCCTGATATGATAAAATTAACTGCAAATCAATGATTAATGCATGCTTTACATATCCTTAATTTTGATCTTTTAAAGGGTGACAGATGATCGGCTATTGAAGTACATTTTTCTAATAATATTTATTTTCCTGAAACAATAGCAGTTCCTGTGTGGTGGTCTCCAATAGGTTCACAATGGTATAAAGGTCATATCAAAGTGTGGGGCAAAGGGTTTGTATTGTTACAGAGAGGATCAACGGCTGATTTGGTTACCCAGAAAACGAATTAAAATATGAAGAACTTCCAACATCAGCATCCTCTGGAAGAGTCATTCCAGAAGATGACCATCAAAAAACTTCAACAAAGGCCTGTACATCAGATACAGAAAATTGAAGCCCATCAAATGATAGTATCTTTGTTTTTATTCCCAATAATGGCACTTCTGCATGTACATACTACACAAGCTTGCATTATAACAGCAAGCGTAACTAACCCCCCTTATTTAGGCCATGGTGTAGTTCTTCATTGCTTATTTACTTGCTGCACTCCTGTGGGCCCTATTGTTTAGAAGAAGAATGGCAAAGAGATATATAGACAAAAGAATGGAGGAAGACTTGGATGGTATAATACAACTAATCAGTCTAAAAGAAATAATATTCACTGTGATATTTACAAAAGAGTTTCGACCTGAAATGATAATGGCAATTATTCTTGCAAGAAATTTCAAAAGGGAGCTCCTGACATATCACTCTCTCCAGAATATGAATTTTACTCACCTAACATGTGGTTCCAACTCACAAGTCAGAGATTGAACAAGTCATCTTTTTGTGTAGCAGGAGATTCCTCTATTAGTAGATTATTAAAGAAAATTTTGATAGGTATAGGACTCCCTTTCTCCGTGTTCACTAATATTTCGGGAATAAACATTACTCACCCTCCTAAAATTCTTACTTGTGAAGTTCAATTGAACTTACTTGTCAGTACTACTATAATTTCTGAATGTATATGTATTAATTGCACCCATATACCTTCCTACTGCAATTCTACCACTTGTGTAAAATGGCCTTTTGGATATAGACTTCCAAATGGCTGGGTATTCTTATGCAATAACAAAACATATCAAGCCTTCTCTTCACATTATCAAGGTGTTTGTGGTGTGGGGCATATTCTTCCTGCCCTTATAGACCATCCTGGATATAAACACAGGTGGGTTTCTCGAGCCCTGCCACATGATTGTGATGACAGCTTGAAGTTGGATCCTGTTGCTGTGGCTATTGCTGCTGCATTCATCTTGCTGGTTCATGGACTTGTCATAGGAATGAAGAAAGAAATATCCAAGCTGGCCTGTGCATACAGTAAAACAACAAATTTGACTGCTTCTATATTGTCTGAACTTAACCAAGAATTAGGAGAAGTACGAGTTGCCGTACTTCAAAATCACGCTACTATAGGCCATCTATTGTTAAAAGAACATATGGGATGTGAACAGTTTCCAGGAATGTGTTGTTTTAATTTATCTGATTTTTCTCAAACTATTCAAAATCAATTAGACAATATGCATCATATTATTGATAAATTTTCACAAATGCCTGGGTTACCAAACTGGTTTTCTTGGCTTTACTAGATATAGCCAGTAATTGTAGGTCTGCTTTTGTTATGTATCTGTATTGTTATTCTGTTAATGTGTGTATGCAATTTAATTAGTAGTTTGTTAAAACCTATACATGCTTACGTTACTTTACAAGAAGTTATGTCAAAGAAATAATCTTCTCATGTTTTCTTCCATCTGCTATTTCTATAGCTTTTCTTCTTCCTTCCTAATTACAGCCCTTTACTAGAATTCATGCCTCATATTTGGAATTACCAAGTATCATAATTCTTCCAAGTGATAAAGATACCTCAAGACAAGTGCTGGGCATAAATCTGCAAAGAAGTAAAAAGCTAACCTTTTCAAACAATATTGCTTCTCTCTCACTTACCAACTTTACATCTCCCTGGATGGCCCCGGAAGATGGCTGGTTAGCCAGAGATGGGTAAGATTCCTCAAGGGAGGAACAACCTAAGACAGGCACAGTCACAGGGGGGCCATCAGGTGAGAAAATGGGGGCCAACAGAGGTTAAGCTTAGAACCTCACCCCCCACCCCAGTTTTGAGAGAATTCTTCTGCACCTGTGGATGTTTTGTTGCCCTTGTCTAACTTGGATTAATACCTAGTCTATAGGCACAGACCTGATCATGTGCACTTGCCTTCTTACAGCACTAAATTACGCTTTCTGTCTTCATCTTGCATCTACCTACCACTTGAGCATTTTATTTAAAAAAATAAGGGGGAAATGTGGGATTCACATATAAATCAAGTAAAAAAAATCAAGTGAATAATCATATCTGACTTGATTGTTTATAGTTCATGATGCATGATCAAAACTGAAACAGTTCCTTGCATTGTTCACCATGTAAGAACTTGTTCACTACGTAAGAACTTGTTATGCTTCAGAAAATTTGAGACTGTTGAGTTAGGCTTGGGTTGATTAATGATTGTGTATTGAGTCCCCTACATAGAACTTTATTGTTAACAACCATTTGATCAATAAATATGAGAAGTGTCCTCTCAGCACCACTCTTGTACTGTTAAGCCTCGAGTCCCCTGGCTGGTTCTTTCAGATCTTTGATATCTCATCACGTCTCCTCCCTTATCTGTGGGTCAGAGGCAGGGAGGGACCAACACAGAACCATGGAGGAAAATTGTGCCAGATTCCAGAGAGAGAGGAAGACAGAATATTTTATAAGCAAGGCATGGTACTGAAGCTGTAGCAGCCAGTATGAGAATAAGAAAAGTGCAGCAAGTTTGCTATGCTACATTAAGAGGAACACTTTCATGAGCATGTAACAGTTTTGACACTAACAATTTTAATTATTCAAATTTTACTCAAAAAGTGTAGGATTTTAGAAATTATGGAAAAGAATGAATAAAAACCTCTATCTTCCACAGGAATAGCAGTAGACTTGTAACATGGCAAAGCTGACTAACACTATACTATATGGGTCTTTCTCCTTGTTTTCACCATTTCCCATATCTTCAAGGGTGGGAAAAATCTCTTCAACCATGCATGAGCTCTACCTTGTTAATACTCTCTTCTTTGGCAGCTTTTTGAAATCTATTGGTATGGTTCATATAATATCTGATTTCCACTAATAAGATACTTTACATTAATTCATTTTTTTAATTACAGAAGAAAGTAAAAATGACTGGTTAGTGATCCACTGAAATCAAACATTTCTACTTTTCCACAATGTGGTATATACTTTTTAGATTACAAAAAAGGGTCAATGACATTTTAAAATATAGTCCTTCATGACCATCATTAACATATATACAAAAATGATTACCTGACATAGTGATGTTTGATTAAAATTGTGGTCAAATTACCATGGTTCTTCCTAGGTAGTTTGGAAGTAAATAATGTCACTATTTTAGTCTGACTTTTAAAAAAATTATGTACTAGTAGTATATAGTAGCTGTCAAATTTTTTAAGTTCAAAATGTTCTTTCTCATTGCTGTAGTACCTGATTAAATAAATTTAATTTCATTTATTATACATGCTATAATGTGTTTTTCTCACCCATTAGAATATTTAATAATTTTCTGGTCATATGTTAACAAAATGCAAAAAATTAAGATGGCAGAGTAGGAAGGCAAGGTGGAAATCTCTCACAAACACACCAAAGAAGCAGCTACAGCAAATCCAGCTAACTCTGAAATTGACCAGAAGACTGCAGAACAGACCATCTATACCTGGGGGAGAAGAGAAGACCACACAGAAAGGAGTAAAGTGGCAGAGCCCCAGTTAAGTGGGACCCAAGCACTTCCCCATCCCAGTCCACAGTGGAGAGAAAGAGGAACAAAGCAGGGAGGGGACAGGCGCTCAAGAACTCTGCATATCTGGCCCTAGAGATCTGCTCTGGGAGAGATCACATTGCATTGGGATCTGGTGATTAGCAAGGGTGGACAGCAGTAACAGTTGCAACACACTGGGAGGCTGAAACTTCAGCTGCATGTGGAAGACAGGCATGCTCCACCAGTTCTGCTGAGAACCAAAACAGAGGTGGCAGTTTGAAAGATTAACCAGCAGCGGGAAGGGTGCCAGAGGGATAAGGGTTGGATGGAGCTATCACAACAGGAAAAAGGGCAGGAGGATGATGGTTTCCAACTGCTCTCTTGCTCAGCAGGTTGAATATGCTCAAGAGTTCCAGAAGCTACATCCCCTTGCTAACAGTTTGGCTCTGGGGCATGTCTCTGTACACCAACTGGCATGCCAGCTCACTAGGCCTTACAGTGTCAGATTTTCCTCCCTGGAAGGCAGACAGAGATTTTCCCAGCTTTCTTAACCTTGTCTCAGCCCAATTAGAGAGGCACCAGCAAGAGCTGGTTCCTACTGCTTCCTTGGTGCCTTCACATGCCTGCCCCAAGACTGAGTAACACCATGCCAAACCATAAACCAAGCAGCCCTTCCATCACTGCAGGGCAGGCAGATAGTGACCCTGCTCACAATCATCCCAGCAGAAGGCAATGCTCTACTCACAAAGTGCCTTCGAGACAAACTGCAGGCAACTGAATCAGACCACTGCTCATAGACACACAGAAAAGAGTACACACACATTGCCCACCAACAGCAACTGGAGCTTCTCCACAAAGAAGAACCAGGTATGAGACAGTAAAGTGTCTTGAACTTGTGGGCAACACAGGAACATAATGAAGCTGAGGAACAGGAAAAAATAATTTCTAGAAATGAATGATAAGAGCTGAATGACCAATCCAAACAAAACAATATTTGCATAATAGGGGTACCAAAAGGAGAAGAGAGAAACAAAGGGCTAGAAAGTCTCTTTGAGGATATAATTGTTGAATCTTCCCCAGTCAGGAAGGAAATAGGCACACGTATCATGGAAGCAGAGAGAGCCCATAACAAAAGGAACCAACCCGAAGAGGACAACACTGAGACATGTAATCAAAATAACAAAAGATTACAGGTGTGAGAAAGTATTGAAAGTATCCAGAGAGAGAAAAAAGATGATTTATGAAGGAAACCCCATCAGGCTATCAGCAGACTCTTAGCAGAAATTTTATACACCAGAAGGGAGTAGAATGAAATATTTAATGTATTGAACCAAAAGGACCCTCAACCAAGAATACACTATCCAGCAAGTTTATCATTCAAACTTGAAGGAAAGGGGAGGAGCCAAGATGGCGGCGTGAGTAGGGCAGCGGAAATCTCCCAAAACCATATATATTTTTGAAAATACAACAAATACAACTATTCCTAAAAGAGAGACTAGTGGATACAGTACAACAGCCAGGCTACATCTGCATCTGCGAGAACTCAGCATCTCACAAAGGGGGTAATATACATGCCGCAGCCCAGTGGGACCCAAGTGATCCCCCCATCCCAGCTCCTCGGTGGGAGGAAAGGAGTCAGAGAGGGGAGGGAGTGAAAGCCCAGAACTGCTAAACAACCAGCTCTAGTAATCTGCACCAGGAGTGCAGACACACAGTGCACAGTGTGCTGGATATTAGAGAAACGGAAAAGCAAAAATCTGTGAGCGGGTACCCGCAACCAGCTCCCCTGGGACAAAAGAAAGGAGAGTGCTTTTTAAAAGTCTTAAAGGGACAGGGACTTCACTGCTGGGTGGAATCATCCTGGCACACTCAGCCCAGCAGCTGGGAATCCCGGGGAACTCCAGGCACCCTAACCCCCTGGGTGGCAGTGTAGCTCTGAAGCCCCTCACAGCAATGAGCAGCCTGCCAGTTCCCCCAGCCGGCATGGCCCCTGACACAGCGGACCAGAAGCCTGACAGCAGTGGTGGCAGAGTGGCATGGGAGTTGGCACGAGAGATGGCAGCAGCGGAGTGGCCCAGGAGCAGGCACACAAGCCAGCGGCGGCGGCGGTGGCAGCAGAGCGGCCCAGGAGTGGGCACGTGAGCCAGTGGTGGCCGAACAGCCCTGGAGAGGGTGTGTGAGCTGGAGGCAGCAGCTGAGCAGCCTGGGAGCAGGCGTGCGAGCATGTGGCAGCTGGGTGGCCTGGGAGTAGCCGCGTGTGGTGGTGGTGGCAGCAGAGAGGCTGGGGAGAGGCCGCATGCACCCATGGTGGCAGTCCAGTGGCCGGGAGCAGCTGTGCCCCCAGCAGCCACCCAGAATCTCCTCTCAGTGCACAGCCACCGAGGCCAGACCCAAAGGCTGCTGCCAGCATGCAGCTGCCCGGTGCAGGCAGTAGAAACCTGGGCAAGGTGCAAAGGGGCGCTGCTCTCACAGAAGAGCACACCCATTGTGCCTACCACTCCCTGCAGGGCTCTGGGCTACCCTGACACCGACCCCACCCATGGCAGCTTAGGGGATTAACCCAGAGGCTGCTCCAGAAGTGCGGGTAACTGACACAGGCAGCGGAGAAGGGCAAGGTGACCAGCAAACAGGAAAGGACTTTGGTCTCCCAGCTGACACACACGCTACCTGCCTGCAGCTACCTCTATCGCCATGAAAAGGCAGAAGAATTTGGTCCAGTCCAGAGTTACCCAGACAACCCCCA